TTGACGCAATTGAATATAATACGGCCTAAATGTGAACGCAATATTTTCAAGTGGATACAAAGCATTTGGATTATGTTTACACTCAAATAAGGACAGACTTAATAACAACACTATCGATATAATGAAGATTCCATATGATGAAGAATATAATGAGTACATATAGTAATATTTTCTCGGCAAACTATAATGAAGGTTTTCTTATTTAGCCAATGGCTTCGCTATAACGAGAATGACTTATACTGCCTGGAAATAATTTGTACTATATTATGTTAACTGATGCAACTTTGCAGACATACTTATAAGGCTAAGTCGAAATATTACGTGCGTGAGATAAAAAATCTTTTCGTTGTCGGACAAACTTTTCCAATGCAAGAGGTGCCTTCACCACCATCTCGAAAGGCCAAAACGACAGCAAATAACAGGATTCAAGTTGCTGCATTTAGACTTATGAAAAATAATAGGTATCATTACCTAATACAGGATAAGCTTGCCAAGCGATTTCCTGATCATACAGAATTTACGCTTCGTACGCGTTTAAAGGTACAAGATATTAGATTCTATATGAAAGTTCCAAACGTGCCATCAGCTATGTTTATGATTGTAATCCGAATTATGTATAGGATATTGCCGAATTAGCGCGTAAGAAAGGAAATGTTTACTCGGGTCCAATATGGAAATTGAAACCGTCAATCCGTCTTCCAAGCGAGGAAGAGCTTCGGAAAATGTTGACACCGGAAATGGTTCATATAATTTTGAATTTAATATAATTTTGTAAATGTTTGTCCTATGCCTCTTAATCATTCAATTATTATCCAGATATGCTTAGAGGAAAGCATGATGGTTGGCGAACGGCACTTGGCAGATGCAGGATACAAACCTTCAACCAACGAAGAAGAAGATGGCGGTAGCAAGGCTAAAAATGACGATGATGATGTTCAGGATGATTCTAAGCTCGCCTTGGAAGAGTCCAAGCTACCGATTGAACAACAATTGGCGCCTTGGATAACTACACGGAACTTTTTAAATGCCACACAAGTAAGAATAATGATGCTATTTATTATTTTGATATTACTATTAGACATTTAAGCCACAATTTGAAATTATTTATCTCAGACAAATGCTATGTTGAAATTACATGGCGAAGGTGATCCAACAGGAAGAGGCGAAGGCTTTAGCTTCATTAGGATCTCTATGAAAGATATTTTTTTGAAGGCTGGTGAAACTGCTCAAGAAAAACTTGGTTATTATTATGTTTAAAATCAAATACAGCTTTGACTTTGATTTTCTAAATTATTATTTTTATTACTTTTCAGGATCTAAAGCTTACAAATAAATGACACTCTTTTTATTGGATATTGGATAACCTAAAAAGTCCGAATTACGGTTTATAGCGCTAATTAAAAACAATTAAAATATTCTAAATTCATTATTTGAGTAAATCGCTTACGCACTATATGTAAAATATTTGATATTGAAGAAAACATGACTCAATAATATACAAGAAAGCAACTTTGGTAATAATCAAAAGCTTATGGGTGAATTATTATTGTAAGAAATCGATCAGCCGACTTTGAAAATCGACAAAGCCGAAAATTAGCTTTAGTCAATTTTTTTTCATCAATAGCCAGGATCACTATTTTTCAGTTTTTGCTTTTGGTATTATCGATATTTTGCTACCTTCCATTTTAACTATGACGGATGAATCTTGTGTACTGGCAGGGGAAGATGATGGACCTGTCGTAGGTGTATCAACGATTGAACTTAGTCCATATCGCGGGCACTTTTTTATTTGTTTTCATATGGCCACTTTGACCACAATTACCACATCGTCTCTATAAAATAATAACTTATCAGTTTTTATCGGTAATAGGATAATAATAATAAATTATACGTACGACCGTCTCATGCTTTTTCTCTTTTGTGATGGCTGTATGAGTAGATGTTGCTGTTGCTGCCGCCATCTTAGCTGCCTCACGTGCAGCTTTACGTTGTTGACGTCT